CCACAGGAGTGAAGGAGGGCAGGTGCTGGTTTTCTCCTTCCACCATGTGGATTCCTGGTGGATCCAACCCAGGTCTCAGGCTTGGTGGCAAGTGCCTTTCCCTGCTGAACCATCTCACAGGCCCTCGAAAGGGGATTTTTGTAAAGCAAGAGAGCAGAGGAGAAATGTGAAATCAAGCGGAGTAACCCGAGAAAAACGGGAAGCAGCAGAAGTGACGGAATCCACAGGATCTTATCTTTTAAATAAACTGGGTCAGCACTCATGTCTAGTGACAGCTTAACCTGTACTACGAAGGATTAAGCACCAAGTTAGGCTTGGCACCCAACTCAAAGGGTGAGAGAAATGAGTTGAGTTAAATAAACCCAAGAAGCTGACAAGTGGAGAATTTCTTATGCCTGACCCACTACCAACTGCAAATCAGACATTTTAGGATGGTTTTTATTGAAGTGCTTCAGTGGGGCATAGCTCCTAGAAGCCAGAATTTGGCTCTGAGGCCAGGCCTGGTGGAGCCCTGAGGGGTGCAGACAGTTGCCTGACAGGGAGGAGGAGGGACAGCCCCGGGTAGGGAGGAGGCCGCAGTGGCTGCTGAGGGCAGTTCTGATCACTGTGTTAGCCCTCTCCTTTTGCCTGCTATAATTAAAGCTTTCCCAATATGATCCTGGCTTCCTGAGGAACTAGAATTTACAAAATCAAGCAAGAAACAAACACAAAACAGTGGAGAGGCTTGGTTGCAATATATATAAATTTAAAATCCGAAGTCCTTAATTGTCTTGAGGTTTCTGCTTGCTGGTCAGTTTCAAAATAGCTATTCTTATCTTATAGCCCTGGCAGGAGGGTGTCTTCTAAGAAAACAGCAAAATAAGAGGAAAAAAAAAGTGTACCCACTAAAATAGCTGTGGTCACATAGATTCTGATGGCCCTAGCCTCCTGTTACTCTGGGTACAAGGGCAATGCTCCCCTCAGAATTTCCTTTTTCTGCCTTACTCTTATCATCCCATTTCCTTTGTTATTGTTTTTGAGACAGGGTCTCATGCAGCCCAGGCTGGCCTCAAATATACTATGTAGACAAGAATCACCTTGAACTCCTGCCTCTAGAGGTAGAGGTCTTCCTGCCTCTACCTCCTAAGTGCTGGAATTACAGGGGTTCACCACCACCCCAGGCTTCATCTCCAATACACCACGTGGATTCTATGAGCCAGAATAAGTTGTTTTATTTCCCCTCAAAGGATGTGACCCTTTCTTTCTCCAAATGGTTCTGACAGTTTTCTCATTCTCTAGCTGAGGAGAACATCAAGAGACGTTGACCTTCTGGTTTTGCCTAATGAGGGAACTTTCAGTAACTATTATGCTTCAGCTGCTGATTGGCTCTCCTGCCCTTCTTCCCCTCCCCCACGCCCTCGCCTACCTTTTCACTTTCTCCACACTCAGCTCACCCTGAAGCATGCTGTTCCTCCCCACAGCCCTCTCTTGCCTGGTGGAGGCGCCATAAGGCACATCTGCCTTCACCCCCATGATGTTCTCTGCTTGCAAGAAAAAGCACAGGGCCTCTAGGACTGCTTGCTTTCTTCTTTAACCTGATTAGGACCGTCACCTATCCAGAGGAGTTAGATTTGGATGATCTGCGCTATCTGTGGAGGGAGGAAAAATAGTCAGACATCACTTAAGCAGCCTTGTCCCTTGGACACTTGGGAACTGCCAAGAGAAATTAATCTTTCAGCTATTTAAGGCAATTTCCTTTCCATCATCCTTTATCAAGACAACCGCACTGGGAAATGAATCTGAAGGGAGTCCCTGAACTGGTATACTCCACACAACAGCAGCATCTCTTCAACACTGTGCAGCATCCGTCATCTCCACACAAGTGGAGACAGGATTCTGCCGCAAAGCCAAGTCCCCACTAGTGAGAAATCACAGATGCATAGGCAGCTACCACTAGCATAGACACCTGCAATTTTTCCCTATCTCTCTAGAAAACCTACCACACCCTGATCTCCATTCAATGAGCCTTATGCCCCAGACCCAGGTTAGAGAAAAGTAGGACATGCCAGAAGGGATTGATTATAGGACTGCAGGTTTTTGTGTTCTCTCCTACCAGACTCTGGCTGTGCAGAGTAGACGTTCACATTAAACAGACCACCGCCAAAGCAAAGTGTGAGACAGAAGCAGGCGGAGCCGTTATGCTCCATCAAGCCCATCTCTTCTCCAGACTGAATTTTATGCTTATGAATTGAGGCCAGGAGTTCCATGCTCTCTGGGGTCATATGAGGGAATTCTAGCCCTCAGCTCTTTCCAACTTCAAGGCCATTTCCCAGGGCAATGGTTTTCCAATTGTGTTCCTCAGGGTTCCAAGAAGTGCCAGGGAATGTGTGTGTCAAGACTGCAAAGCCCACTGGCAGAAGCTCTGCACAACTCCACTTCAGGTTTTGGTTTTGGTTTTGTCTTTTTTGAGACAGGGTCTCCCTGTAGCCCCAGCTAACCTGGAACTCACTATGTAGACCAGGCTGGCCTCGAACTCAGAGAGATCTGCCTGCCTCTGCCTCCCAAGTGCTGGGATCAAAGGCGTGCGCCACCAATGCCCGGCCACTTCAGTCTCAGATTTCTTTCAGATATTTCGAGTTCTCCTAAGAATTGATGATGATGATGATGATGATGATGATGATTTGAGGCAGGGTCTCCATGTGGCCCCAGCTGGCCTGGAACTCATTATTTAGACCAGACTGGCCTTGGTCTCAGAGATCCACCTGCCTCTGCCTCCTTAGTGCTGGGATTAAAGGTGTGCGTCACCACTGTGGGTGAACTGATTTATTTTTAAACACTCTAAATTCTTTTTTATTTTTACATTTTTAAATTTTTTAATTAATTTATTTTTTGTCTTTTTGAGACAGGGTGTCCCTGTAGCCCCAGCTGTCCTAGAACTCACTATGTAGACCAGGCTGGCCTTGAACTCACAGGGATCCACCTGCCTCTGCCTCCCAAGTGCTGGGATTAAAGGCATGCGCCACCATGCCCCACCTTTTTTTTACATTTTTTTAACACTGGGTCTCATGTAGTCTCATGTGGTCTTAAATTTACTATGTAGCTGAGGATGACCTTGAACTTCTGATCCTCCTGCTGCCACCTCCCAAGTCCTAGGATTCCAGGTACCCACCATCATCCCTGGTTCTATGGGGTTCCTGGCATTGAACCCAGGGCTTTGGTGCATGCTATGCAAGCACTCGACCAACTGAGTCACTTCCTGAGCCAAAACATTCTAATTAAAAAACAAAACCAGGGGCTGGAGCAATGGCTCAGAGGTTAAGAACACTGGTTGTTCTTGCAGAAGACCTGGGTTCGAATCCCAGCACCCACATGGCAGCTAACAACTGTCCGTAACTCCAGTCCCAGGGGATCCAACAGCCTCTTCTAACCTCCGTGGGTATTGCATGACATGGGTGCACTTACCTACATGCAGGCAATACATGCATACACATAAATAAAATAAAATAAAATAAAATAAAAAAGTTAAAAAAAGTAAAACCAGTTTCCTTGGAGGAAGACAGGGTACCTGTGCCTCTCACACAGCTAACCATAGCTACAGTCTACTCGGCACAGCTGTGGCAGCCTGGGTCTGTGCTAGCAGTCCACTCTAGACACTTCACCGCAAAATGAATCTCCTGAGGCACAAGAGTCATTTGTTTTCCCAACTCCATTCTCTGTTCTCACTAATTCACAATTTCCTTGTATTTGACAAATGCAATTAACAAGCCTCGATCAGTTCCTGGAGGACAGCCCTCATCGATCAGAAAACTGCAGAGGCTAAGGAAAAGCGGGGAGCTCTGGGCAGGGGTGATGACCTCGCCAGACCTCGAAGTCAGATGAGTGTTGTCCCTCACCACTTTCTTCCTCCTGGCTAACTAACTGAACAGTGGTCTTTCCTGTGTCTTCCTGACCTGCTTTCTAGTCTTCTCCTGCCAACCCTGTCCTCTTTAAAGGATGACTTGCCGCCTGCTGCCACTAGAGTTTGGGGGCCTCCTCAGAGCTGGGTGCAATCATGAACCTTCTATGTGCTCAGGAGGGACTTCCCACCCACGCATTGTCCTAATCTGTGCAGCTTCCTACCCAGGAGGCTGCACGTCCACCCTTTCCTCACTCTGTTGCACATCCATGCACTGCAGCCAAAAGGAATAGATTACCAAGATTTTTTTTCCTTTTTTAAAAATAAAGGCATGGTGGCACATGCCTTTAATCCCAGTAATCAGGAAGCAGAGGCGGGAGGATCTCTGAGTTCTAGGCCAGCTGGGGCTACAGAGTAACCCTGTCTCAAAAAGACCAAAAGAGACAGGGTCTCCCTGTAGCCCCAGCTGTCCTGGAACTCACTATGTAGACCAGGCTGGCCTCGAAGTCACACAGATCCACCTGCCTCTGCCTCCCGAGTGCTGGGATTAAAGGCGTGTGCATGCAATTCCTGAGGTCAGAAGAGGGTGTCAGAGCCCCTGGAAGTGGAGTTATGCATGATTGTTAGCTGCCATGTGGATGCTGGGAACTGAACCTGGATCCTCTGCAAGAGCAGCCTGTGCTCTTAACCACTGAGTCATTTCTCCAGCCCTGAGCTTGTGGTCACTGTGGTTTTCACATTCACCTATGGGTCTGCTTTCCTAAGGTTCAAGCCTTCCCTTCTCAATGCACTGAAGATTCCAGATTTACCCTTTTCATCATTCGGCATTGCATGGTAGTATCAATCTCCTCTACCCCATACAGGGTAAGCCTTTTCCTCTGCAGCCTGCCTATCTTTCCACCTCATCAGCTCTCATCTCTATACCCGAAGCAGGATGCCTCTCCCTCCCTGCATCTCTCCTTCCCGGCTATTAGCTTCATGAGAGAGGACGTTAATGTATTCACCAGACGATGTCTTCACAGCACTCTTTCCTGTGATTACAGGCCCTTCCCTCCCACTGTCCTGGCTTATTTGACTGTAAAGTGCTTGGAGAAGGGACAGTGTGGACAAAAAACACAACACAGGCTGAGGTTGAGAACCAAGTAGTGTAATGTTAACAACCAAGGTAGTAAAACAAACAGCTCCCTCACCAGGAGCTCATCAACTGAAAACAGGTATGTTCCAGAGATTTAGAAAAGGAATTGACGTAAGTGGACCTTCCACCATGGGATGGGGTGACAGTCATCCCAAGAAATGCAAGTGGCCACATCCACCCTTTCAGGGGGCAGATCCACTATACTTGTCGTGTAAATCAGCTACATTGTCACTGGAGACTCGGATCCAGCCATCTTCCCGCACATGGTAGAGGTTGACTGTACCTCCTGAGTAGGCATCTCTGTAGGTGGCTTGGTATATGGCTCGGCAGGCCAGATCATAGGCTTCCTCCACTTCCAGGTCATAGGAGTAGCCTCGATCCATGACCCCGTAAGCATACACAGAGCCAGAACCCACAGAGAAGGTAGTTCCAGAGATCCGGTTCCCTTCACTGTCCACGTAGTAGAGGCCTGGGAAAGGAGATGAGGTTAGCAGGGGGGAAAGTCCATCATCCCTTGATGTCCAATCCATCTTCCAAGGCAGTTTTTCATCTCCCCAGAGGAGGGCTAGGGATTGTAGCTCAGTGGTAGCACACTTGCCCACCATGTGTAAGGCCCCAGGTTTGATTCTTACCCAGCAACACACAGACATACACACGTGTGTGTACGTATGTACAAAAACACCACCACTATGAGCAACAAAAAACAGGGAAAACCAACAAACTTTCTATAAAATTACTTGAAGCCAGGCATGGTGGCACACATCTGTAGATCCCAGCACTTAGGAAGTAGAGGAAAGAGGGTCAAGAGTTAAAGGCTAGTCTTGGCTACATAACTGAGTTTGAAGTCAGCCTAGGTACATGAAAACCTTGTCTCAAAAAAAAAAAAAAAGAAAAAGAAAAAGCTGGGCGTGGTGTACGCCTTTAATCCCAGCAATGGAGAGGAAGAGGAAGAAGCAGGCAAATTTCTGTGAGATCAAGGCCAGTCTGGTCTCCACAGTGAGGTCCAGGCCAGCTGGGGCTACAGGAAGACCCTGTTTCAAAAAGACAAAAAAGGGGGGGAGGGGGCTAGAGAGAGATGGCTCAGCAGTTAAGAGCACTGGCTACTCTTGCAGAGGACCTGAGTTCGGTTCCCAGCACCCACATAGCAACTAACAATGGTTAGAAAATTCAGTTCCAAGAGATTCAGTGCCGTCTTCTGACCTCCGAGAGCTATGCACACATGGTGCACTTACATACGTAAAGGCAAAACACACGTACACTAAAGAATATAAATAAAAATTTTAAATTATTTGAAAAACCTGGAGACAGAATCAAATTTAATATTCTGATTTCCAGATCCTGCAGCACCATACCACCTACATACCTCACATAACTATCCTCCCTGCTCTCTTGGAAAATCCAAAAGGCAGTATGACTTAGATTTCCAGCACAGGACTTCAGGTACTATGGGAGACCATCATCCCAGCCTTCAAAGAATTTAGAGAATTCGGGAAAAAGATGCACATCATACAGTGAATACCTAAGAGCTCTTAGTCAGGTAGAGCTGCACTGTCCCAGGAGGTGGATGTAGGAGGCCAGCCTCAGCTATATAATCTTACTTCACTGCTAGCGTAGACCACAACAATCTCCTACTTTTATAAAGACAATTCCACTGGAACACAGCCATAGCCATCGTATCAATTAGCTCATGTGCTGTCTACTGCTGTTGTACTACACTACACTAGCAAAGTTAAGCAGTCCTACATCATTTAACAATAGGGATATGTTTGGAGAAATGGTTGCTACAAGGAGTTTTGTCCTCGTGTGAGCCTCAGGAGGTAATACAATCAAAATCACTACAATGGCTCAGGGTAGAGTGCTTGCTTAGCATGAGCCTGGACTTAGGTTCCATCAACAGTACAAGAATGAAAGAGGGAAAAGGAGGGTGGGGGAAGAGAGAGAGAGAGGGACACACTACAACTTTACTAGGTGATATAATTTCACAGGCCCATCATTGGATATGTGGTTGTCAATCACCAAAATGTTATTATGATAGTACATGATTATAGTTGTGACAGACTCTATGCACACAAGCCTTACATAGCCATTTGGCTCTTTATGAAAGTTCCCTGATTTCTGATATGGATGAAAACATATAGCTGAGCATAGTAGTACAGGCCTATAATCCCAGCACTTGGGAGATGAAGGCACGAGGACCAGAAATTCAAGGTCATGCTTGGCTGCATAGCCAATTTGAGACCAGCCTGGGCTAAATGAGACCCTACCTCAAAGAGGAGGAGAAAAGTTAGACAGTGTTTAATAAAACCTGTATCAGGGCTGAGCATCCTCCTGCTCACCAACCACACCTCTTCACCTTCTCACACTGCTCCGTGACAGTACTAACCTCTTTGCTATTTCAGGGCTTCTTATTATTGTGCTCAATCAGAACCATCTAAGCAAGATGGCATTTTGTTGTTTTTGCTTGAAACAGGGTCTTGCTATGCAGCCCAGGCTGGCCTAGAACTCAAGGCAATATTGACTTAAATCCTCCAAGTGCTGGAATCACAGGCATGCACCATGCCTGTCTCTTCAGGTTGAAGCAAGCCAGGCCAAGCCATGCCTGCAGTGCTTTGGGGGGTCAGACGACTGTACTGTCTACGTACTCCAAGCAAATACAAAGTGGGACTGCCAAAATCTTTCCCTGGGCCAAGGAGGGTAGATGGAACCTTGTAGCTGAGGGTGACCTTGACATTCTGCTCCTCCTGCTTCCTGCTGGATCAGTACCACACTCCCATTTACGGGGTGCAGAGGACACCATCCAGGGCTTCGTGCACGCTAGGTAAGTACTCTACCAACTGAGCTACAGTCTCAGCCCTGGACTATTCTTCCACACTTTTTCAAAGAGGAAAGTGTCTCAATTCTCCAGGTCCTTTTCAATTTTACAGGTCCTTTTTCACAACTACACCTGTTTGTTTGATTATTTATTCTGAAATAGGATCTCATGCTGTAGCTCAGGCTGGCCTTAAACCCAAGGTAGTTCTTCTGCATGCCAGCATTACAGGTGTGAGTCCCAGGCTCAGCTCACCACCTACTTTGTAAATATCATTCATTCTTTGTGTTCTTCTTGTTCTATGGGTCACAAAGCATTTACCAAACAAATTGATGAAGGAAAAAAAAAAGGGGGGGGGGGCGGAGAGATAGTTCACTGGTTAAGAGCACTGACTGCTCTTGCCGAGGACCTGGGTTCAATTTCCAGCACCCACATGGCAGCTATGAACCATCGTTAACTCCAGTTCCAGGTGAATCCGATGCCCTCTTCTGATCTCTGTGGCACTGCATGACACAGTGCACTAGCATACATGCACATAAAATATAAAAATAATAACACTGGGAGTGGTATCACATGCCTTTTGTCCCAGTACTCAGGAGGCAGAGGTAGGTGAATCTCTGTGAGTTCAAGGCTAGCCTGTTCTACATAGTGAGTTCCAGGCCAGCTGGGGCTACAGGGAGACCTTGTCTCAAAAAAGACCAAAAAAATAATACAGGCCTGGGCCAGGTGTGGTGGCACACACCTTTAATCCCAGGTTTAATCCGAGGTTAAGAGCCCTGGCAAACCATTTATTTATTTATGAGACAGGTGTTTGCTTTGTAGTCTAGGCTATTCTGAACCTTGCTATGAACTTTCGGCTAGCCTCAAACTCTTGATTCTCCTCCTTCAGCCTCCCTGGTGCTAGGACCACAGCTTCCTTTTATTTTTTTATTTTATTTTTATTTTTTTGGTCTTTTTGAGACAAGGTCTCCCTATAGCCCCAGCTGTCCTGGAACTCACTATGTAGACCAGGCTGGCCTTGAACTCACAGAGCTCCGCCTGCCTCTGCCTCCCGAGTGCTGGGATTAAAGGCATGCACTACCCTGTCTGGCTTCCTTTTATTTTTTAAATATATTCACGAGGACTACAAAACTGGCTCCGAGGTTAAGAGCACTGGCTGCTCTTGCACAAGACTGGGTTTGGATCCCAGCACCCACATGGTGGCTAACAACTGTCTGTAACTTCAGCTCCACAACACAGGTGCACTTACATACATGCAGACAATACATTCATACACCGAAAATAAAAATAATTTTAAAAAAATCAAAATAAATATATTCATGAGATGACTCAGTGGGTAAAGCTGATTGCTGTCAAGCCTGACATCCTGAGTTTGATACCCAGTACTCACATGGGGAGAGGAAAAAACCAATCCCCACAAGTTGTCCTCTGCCCCGACAGGCATGCTCCATACCTAAACATACACACAAGAGGCAGGCGGATCTCTGTGAGTTCAAAGCCAGCCTGGTCTACATAGTGAGTTCCAGGTCTATAGGGAGACCCTGTCTCAAAAAGACCAAAAAATAAATAAATCATGAAAAAATTCTAAATTATGTGTATGGCTCACTTTTTTTTTTTTTTTGGTTAGATAATGCTAGCTAGAGTTCAACTACTGGTCAATTTAATTCTCACATACAGCACTTTCCTAGTCCTTATTGTGGGGGACAGAAGCAAATATGTTATGTGCCAAATAGCCTACCAACTGTCCCACCACACTTAACCACTGAGACAGGTCACTCAACCAGCTGACAGAAACAAGCTGAGAAAAATCAGTAACCTACTTGAGGTCAACTGATTAAGACAGTCAATGAAACAACACATCTAAGGCCATGCCCTTTCCTATACTACAGTGAGTTCCTTGGGTAAAGGAAGGGAAAAGACGCTAACACATCCTCAGCTTGGGTCACAGCCCTTAATTTATCTGTTCATTGACCCCCTCCTGACAGTTGTGTCAGCCCCAGGGATCATGTGATGTAGCACAACTCACCAGGGCCTCGCTTATCCCAGCCACAGATCATGGTGCCCATGGACAGCCCCATGCCTTTGTACTGATACACCATGTTAGCAAGCAGTTTGGAGGCAGCGGCTACAGAGATGCGTTCCTTATTTCGAAGCTCATAGATTCGACACTGGCGAGCCAACAACCGCTCCCAGAAGCTGCAATCTGCTGCACCCCCAGCCATGGTGCCCAGAAGGTAAGGGTTGATCTCTATCACTTTCTTCACGGTCTGGGAGGCAATGTAAGCCCCCGCTGTTGCCCGGGAATCAGCTGCAACAATGACTCCATGGCGAAACTATTAAGATCGGGGGAAAAACACAGAATAGGCCACATAAGACCACAGATATTCCCAATACTTTTCATATTAATACAGACCCTGCAAGTCTTTTTGTATTTCACAATACAGTCCACATATTAAATGTTATTTGTGCTTGACAGCAATCTCCTGACTTGGGAAAAACCAGTATTCACTTTACAGTTGTTTGCAGGAACAAGTTCAGTGAGATAAAGACTTGACCAAGATCCGCAGCTAGTTACTGAAGCTGGAACTGTACCCTAATCGTTTGGCACCTACTACAGTAGTCCCTGGACTTCAAGCTTCCCCCTCAGGCTGGCGTGGAGGCACAGGCAGGCGGAGCTCTGAGTTCGAGGCCAGCCTGGTCTACATGGGGAGTTCCAGGCCAGCCTGAGCTACCTGTCTCAAACATAAAAACCAAAAGGCTTTTTCCCCTCAGGCCACAGAGGTTCCATTACTCGCTAGGGGACGCCCAGTTTATAAAGCTTTTGGTAACCGGCTACTAAAGCTCGCTTTCCCTCTGCCACGGTGGTGACTGCGCCTCCCTTTTCCCGGGCGGGACTCCTGAACAGGTACCAAGTGGGGGTCGCCGACGAGACAACCCACGCTGTATCGGGCTCTTTCCTCGCTGCCCCCCAAGTCTCACCGCCCCTTCTCCCGCCGGAGGGAAGAGGCCTCCTGAGACGATGAGACCGCGAAACCGCTAGGGTCGGGACGAGCGGGCCGGACCTCCTCCCGGGCCTGGTGGCCGCGGCCGCAGCGGGCTTGGATCCGGCTGGGAGGCCCGGAAGGGCGCTCGGGCCCAGGCCCGGCAGGGCGGTCAGATGCGCACCTTGAAGGCCAGGGTGGTGGTTCCGTGAAGCATTTCGATTCGTGGCTCCTCTGGGACGCCCCAGCCGGGCGCGGCCAGGCTCAGCCCATCACCGAGACTTCCCTGACCAAGGTCCTGCAGATCTGTACCTCCTCCGAGTCCGAAAAATCCGTGCCGGTTCACCAAGAGCGGCCTCGCCAACACGCTGGCCAACGCCATATCTAGTAAGGGCAACAGGAACTGACTCGACGATGCTTCGCGAACGACAGCCGGGCAATGCGTTGCCCTCACGGCTTCACTCTCTAGTGTAAACCGAAGGAGGGGCCATCTTTACTTTGGGCAGCCACGCCTACAAATACGAGAGCCAGAGCGGTTGTTCCGAGGAAGGGCGGAAATGGATGTGGCTGCTGTCTTGACTTTGGTCATTAAAGCGTACTGCACTACTGATTAACTTCAAATTCTTAGGGAGCACTTGGAAACGCCCACGTCAAGAGAACGAGGCGAGGTCGGCCATCTTTGAGAAGGGCGTGACTCATTTAGACTCTATTCTGGAGTCTTGGGTCATGAAGGTCCCGGCCGAGGTTCAGGTTACATGATGTATCTCTGTTGCTCAACACCCTGTTAACGAGACTGAGATTGTCATTTTGTTTAGGGGAAGCCCTTTCAATATTGGATAAAATGATTATCTATCTTCAAGGCATTTCCCTAGGGTATTAATTAAACCAAGTAGTTTGTGATAGAAAAAGCGCTACTTCTTCTTTGACAGCATTCATCACCACAACTCATACTGCAGCCGGGTTGGTGGTTTTGGGGGGAGATCGGTTGTTTGTAAGACAGTGTCACATGTAGCCCTGGCTGGTCTGGAACTCTCTGTTGAGGCTGACCTCGAACTCACAGAGATCCTGCCTCCGCTTCACTACTACTAGGATTAAATGAATACACCACCACTCTGGGCAGGGTTTGTTTGGTTTTTTTATGCTTTGAAGAATTTTTTTTAATTTAATTTATTTATTTATTTACACCCACTTCCCCGACAGCACCCTCCCATAGCCTCCCTCCCCCCACTAGAGCCCTTATACTCTGATATCCCTGCTACTGTCTGCTGTGTTGTCGGCACCCCCAGCCATTCCTCACTACTTGCCCTTCTGGTGAATCTAGTCAGCCTATCTAGAGGTCTTTGTTTTAGGAGGGTCAGCTGTTCCTCATCTAGCAGCAATCAGTTGTCAATATTCCTTTGGATAAGACTGGGGTCTGCTGTTCATTTTCCCAGTTCTATGCTGGGTTACTATCTGGGAGTCCCTTTGGCCACCGTGGCCAACAACTCAAAAGAAGGTATTGCCTGTCTGGCATTGTTGCTTGTTATGTAGCCTTTAGCTATACATATGGACTCTTAAAAAATTATATTGGCCCCTTCAATCTTTGGTTATACTTTCCTTTTGGGTGTTTAAGGCCATATAGTTGGCCCAGATAAACCAATTTATTTTTACTCTTAAGGTCGTTTGAGGATCTGTTCCTCAGGGGTCACATGGGCTTGGGAGGAGCCCCTGGCTCCTTTCTTTTACCAGTTCCACCTATGTGAAGATAAGTCAAAGGCCCTGCTCAACTATGGTTGGCTTTGCTTGGAAGTTTAAATGTAATTTTAAAAACGATTTTATGTGGGGAATAGAGAAATGGCATCCATTAAGAGTACTGGTTGCTCTTGCAGAGGACCCGAGTTCAGGTTCCCAGGACCCATATGTTGGCTAACACCCATCCTTAACTCCAATTCTAGGGAATTTAATGCCCTCTTCTGGTCCCTCACAGCCATCTATGTGGTGCACTCACATACAGGCAGACAAAACATAAACATAAAAATAAAATCTTTTGTTGTTGGTGGTTTTCATTTTTTCTTTTTCTTTTTTTTGAGACAGCATTGTCCTGTAGCCCCAGTTGGCCTGGAACTTGCTATGCAGGCCAGGCCAACCAGTGCTGCATAGCAAGACCCTATCGCAAACAAAACAAAACAAGTAACCAGTTTTTAAATTTTTTATTTTATGTGTATGAATGTTTTGCCTGTGTGTGTGTAGATGTATCATGTGCATGCAATGTCCTGCAGAGGCCAGAAGAGAGTGTTGGATCCCCTGGAACTGGAGTTATGGACAGTTGTGAGCCACCATGTGGATGCTGGGAATTGAACCCAGGTCCTCGGGAAGAACAGCAAGTGCTCTTAACTGCTGAGCCATCTCTCCAGCCCTGTAAGTAACCAATTTTTAAGATTCAGTAAAGATTCTCTTTATTTCCACCTTCTAGTGGAAAATTTAAGTAATGAATTGTGTGAAAGGCAAGCAGAATAAAGAAAGAAGAAAGGGAGAGGGTTTGGTTAACTGACAGACTAGATTCTCAGTTCAGGACCTGAGTATTTGAGTCAGTAATGATTTGCATTTCAGAACCTGAGGGAGGGTTGTGAGTCCATAAGATGTACCAAGAATTCTTTATGTTCAGCTTACCGAGATGAAGCTCTTCATCAAGAATGGGCCGTATTTCACAGCCTCTTCTCTCCACCCACCTTTACTTTTCAACTCTTTGGGGAACTGTAACAAGTGAGGAAGTATGAATATGTGTGAAATGTTGCCTCCTGCTTTATCTATGAAATCTGTCTAGCCTTCCTTGTTGGGTTTCATCTATCAACATCTAAATTCAACGTTCTTTTGATGTCCAGCTCAGTCCCTCTTCTCCCTCTAGCACACTCTGAATGTGCTATATTTTTTAATGCTGAAATTTGGCAGCCCTTTCCAAGCCCAACCACCAGAATGGAATGAGGTAGGAAATCTTTTGTGTCTCACACTGAGATGATGTAAAATGCAAAGTAGGGTTGGGGAGATGGCTTAGTGAGCAAGTGTCTGATCCAACCTGAGTTTGGATCCCCAGAACCATGTTAAAAGCCGGGTGTGGTCATAAACACCTGTAACTCCTGTGTTAGGGGAAAATGCAATCTACCTGTTTACTGCACCTGTGTGTTCTTTACAATCTCTCCTGCAAGGCAGATGGTCCTCCTCTGACTTCAAGTGGTTTTTTTCACTCTCCACTAATAGCATCTGTACCTAGATTAAGGCAATTTTTTGTTTGTTTGTTTGTTTTGAGACAAGGCCTCACTATGTAGCCTAGGCTGGTGATCTTGTCTCAGCTTTCCCAGTGCTGAGAGTACAGGTGTATGCTACAACGTGTGGGTTCTAGGGATTGAACTCTGGTCATCAGGCTTGACAACAAATGCCTTTTTCTTCTGAGCCATCTCACTGGCCTGGATTGTGAGCTTTTTTAAAGAAAATTTTATTTATTTGTTTTTATTTTTTGGTCTTTTTGAGAAAGGGTCTCCCTGAAGCCCCAGCTGGCCTGGAACTCACTTTGTAGACCAGGCTGGTCTTGAACTCACAGAGATCTGCCTGCCTCTGCCTCCACCACGCCCGGCTAATTTATTTTTATTTTGTGTGTATGAGTGTTCTGCCTGCATGTATGTAAGTTCACCCATGTCATGCAGTGCCCATGGAGGACAGAAGAGGACATCGGATCCCCTGGAACTGGAGTTATGGAGACAGTTGTTAGCTGCCATGTGGGTGCTGGGATTTGAACCCTGATCTGCAAGCACAGCCAGTGCTCTTAACTGCTGAGCCATCTCACCAGCCCCTGATTATGAGTTTTTAAATATTTTATTATTTTTATTTTCTGTGTGTATGAGTGTATCGCCTGCATATATGTAAGTGCACCAGTGTTGTGCAATCCCTGTTGGAGGTCAAAGAGGGCACTGGATGCCCCTGGTCCTGGAGTTACAGATGGTTGTTAGCCGCCATGTGGGTGCTAGGAATGGAACCCTGGTCCTCTGCAGGAGCAGCCAGTGTTCTTAACCATAGCGCCGTCTCTCTAGCCTCAGCCAACTGCTTTTTTTTTTTTTTAAGTTTATCTTTATTTAATGTGTATGGATGTATTGCTTGCATGTAAATAGGTGCACCCATGTCATGCAATGCCCGTGGAGGTCAGAAGAGGGTGTCAGATCCCCTGGAACTGGAGTTACAGACAGTTGTTAGCCACCATGTGGGTGCTGAGACACTAACCCAGGTCCTCTGCAAGAGCAGTCAATGATCTTAACCACTGAGCCATCTCTCTAGCCCCCAACTGTGAGCTTTTAAAGACAGGTATCTCACTACTGTATACTCAGTACACATTTGCCAGATGAACAAAACAGTAACTGGAACAGTCAGAGAGGCTGAGTCCCGGCCTGTCTCCAACAACTCCCCTTCCTGCCACATCCACTGAGCTGCCAGGTCCTGCTGAGTCTTTTCACATTTTTTTTTCACTTCAACTGATACGATCTTTGGTTTCTTTCTAGATTTAAAAATTTTATGTAGTTGCAGCCTGCTAGCCTGTCCTAATCTATGTCATTTTCCTAGCTGTCAGGGTTCATCAACCCCATTTCTGTACCACTCTTGGTTGATCTAAATGTCATAGGGTCAAGATCAGTTGTTTCTCCTGCCCTGCACCTACAAAACAGTTTTCTTGCTATTTTGAACTGTTGGCAGAAGAGAGACCTGGAGAGAGAGGGCTTGTAGATCTTCTCAGCTACCTTCAGGACTTTCTTTCTTTCCTCACATAGGTTCTGGCCATGTAGCCCAGACTGGCCTTGAATTCAAATTCCTATCTTAACCTCCTGAGTGCTGGGATTAATTATAGGCATACCTGCATATCTTCAGGATTATTATTATTTATTTTTGTTTGTTTTTATTTTTGATTTTGTTTTTGAGACATGGTCTCCCTATAGCCCCAGCTGGCTTGGAACTCACTATGTAGACCAGGCAGAGATCTGCCTGCCTCTGCCTCCCGAGTGCTGGGATTAAAGGTGTGCACCATCACACCCAGCCCTATCATATTTTTTATGATGCTAGGGCTTGGGCATGCTAGGCAAGCACTTTACCACTGAACTACATGTCTACCCAGGAATGCTATCTTTGGTATCATCTATCTATCTATCTATCTATCTATCATCTATCTATCTATCTATCTATCTATCATCTATCTATCTATCTACCTATCTATCTATCATCTATCTATCTAATCTATACACAGTGTGTTTTGATCCAGTGTAGAGTTATCTTAAGCAAAGTAAAATAGCTGCCAGAACAGTCGCTGAGGCAGCTTCTCATCTTAGAGATAAGACATCATTGTGTACTGACTGCACTGTAGTTCTGAGGCTTCACTTTGTCCTGGATCTGCATTTTCTATTGCTGTGACCTTTTATCTATCTATCTATCTATCTATCTATCTATCTATCATCTATCTACCTATCATCTATCATCTATCTATCTATCTATCTATCTATCTATCTATCATCTATCTATCTATCATCTATCATCTATCTATCTATCATCTATCATCAATCATCTATCTATCTGGTGTGAAGTGTATGAGTGTGGAGGTCAGAGGACAACTTCCAAGGGCCTGGCCTTCCACTTTGGTATAAGAGCACTGGGTTTACAGATATGTGCTATTGCATTTAGCCTTTCATATGGGTTCTCGGGATCAAACTCATGCTATCAGCCTTGTGTGGCAAACGCTTTTACCTGAGTGTCTCCCCAGCCTTTGTGTGCAGATAGAAGGTGACCTTCATCCCCAAAGCTGAAGAGAAAGAAACCTCCACATTCTGGTACCCTTACCCCTCAGTAACAGGCCTTTCTGGAAGGTATTTGAGTCTCTTTCTCCTCCCCCCACCCTTATTAAAATTCTCTTGCTCATTTCTCTTCTGTGTTTTGTTTCCCCATCTTGCTTCCTGGTCTCATACCTTTGAAGGGAGTCCCAACATCAAGGTCTCTTGCCTGGGTCCGTAGCAGTGTACTGTCAGAGCACTGAGTTGTCTTTGCTCCTCCAGGTGGAGACTAATCTCTAGCCACAGACAAGTCCTTGTTGTCTTTCATGCCTAATGTGCCATACAGCAAAAACAAGGGGGACCCAGGTCTGTTTCTTCCTCTTGCACTCACTCTTCTCTGCAGTTACACTGACCCCCCCCTACTTCTACCCACCTGTGGGTAGATAGAGGATGACAGACAGGAGACTCTGTTATGTGTCACAACAGCAGGTCTGATTGATGGGTGGTGGCGTCTTCCCAGTACAGGAGCCTCCGATGGCCCATTCTATCTCCCCTTGACAGTCCTCTAATGTGGAGGGGATGATTTACCAGCCAATCCTAAAGCCTGATTTGAGGTTGGGGGGAAATGAAGCATCAACTCAATACACCTTGCTTACTGGTTCTGGCCATAGTCCAGCTTCTCTGTAGCGTCCCCTCTTCCCCTGCTGACCCAGGCCTCAAATCCTGTCCCGCGCCTTCCAACTTCACTCAGTCTTCAGGGATGGCTCTGCAGGATGTGTGCAAGTGGCAGGCCCCTGAAACCCAGAAACCATCCCTTCATCTGCCTCAAGCTGGTGACTGTGCTGTGCCCCGAGGCTGTGACCCTCAAGCCTTCCTGCAGAGCTATGGCCCCCATCTGGCCCACGGCACCACCACCCTGGCTTTTCGCTTCCGACATGGTGTCATTGCTGCGGCTGACACTCGTTCCTCCTGTGGCAGCTATGTGGCCTGTCCAGCCTCACGCAAGGTCATCCCTGTGCATCGGCACCTCCTGGGTACTACCTCTGGCACGTCTGCTGACTGCGCCACATGGTACCGGGTGCTACAGCGGGAACTGCGGCTTCGGGCACTGAGGGATGGTCAGCTGCCCAGTGTGGCCAGTGCGGCCAAACTCTTGTCAGCCATGATGTCCCGCTACCGGGGTCTGGATCTGTGTGTGGCCACTGCCCTGTGTGGCTGGGACCACTCTGGCCCTGCCCTCTTCTATGTCTACAGCGATGGCACTCGCCTGCAGGGGGACATCTTCTCTGTGGGCTCTGGATCTCCTTATGCCTATGGTGTGCTAGATCGCAGCTACCGCTATGACATGACCATCGAGGAAGCCTATGCCCTGGCCCGCTGTGCTGTGGCCCATGCCACCCACCGTGATGCCTACTCAGGGGGCTCAGTGGACCTTTTCCATGTGCGGGAGAGTGGTTGGGAGTATGTGTCACGCAGTGATGCCTGTGTGATGTATATGGAGCTGCAGAAACTTCTGGAGCATGAGCATGAGCAGGAGAAAGAGGCAGAAGCTAGCCAGGCCCATCCTGAGCCTGTCAGTCCCCGAAGTGCTGGAGAAGATGGAAAACTCTCTGCAGACCAAGAGGGAGTGACAGCAGAAGACTCCAGGATGCTAGCAGAGGCTGAAACAAAGTGAGAAATGGCAGGACTTTGGGGGCCTAGACTGGGGATAGGTGGGGGATGGAGCTGTCCTGGCAGGGCCTGTTGGGAGCAGCCCCATGGTGTCTAGCTCTGGCCCTCTGGACTGTCTGCTTCCTTTGTTCAAGTCCCCATCTCTTCCACCTCCCAGAGATACTGATGACACTCTCCAACATGTTCTAACTGATGTCCAATGGATGGTGCCACCTCCTGTCTCCAAGCTGACTCATGGCAAATACCTACTGCATGCCTACTGCATACCAGGTCTATGCTAGGTGCTAGACCTCTTTTGTCATCCCATCCCACTCTCTCTTCCTATTTTGGTCCTTATCTATCTGAGTCTGAGTCTCTGTCTCCTCCTCCTGGTCACCTTCTCAACCTTGGTGAGCTAGGACAGCCAAGAGGAAAGCAACCTCTCTCAGGATGACTTGGGGAGAGTGACCCAGAAGGCTGCAGGGCCCAGTGCAGTGATGGTGGGGATGGGCTTGTCTCCTCTGCCCCCTCTGACATGACAGTAATGACCATGACTCCTCCTCTACTGAATGTGATAGCCCTTTGAGGCACAATCCATCTCACTTCATAGAAAAGGATCAAGTTTAGAAAGTTATGGGACTTACACTTATGGGACAACTTTGCAGACTTCTGGGGAATGATGTGGTAGAAAAACAGCTGGGCCAAATCCTTGCTGGTAGTTGGAGATGAATGTACCCCAGGGAACCCACAGGCCTGGAGGGGTAAGGTCAAGAAAACTGTCCCCTTCCTAGTTTCATCCAGTCATGCAAACCAGGGCCTGAGCCATGCTGTGTCCCAGCCCTGCTCTGCCCTCTAGACTTCTTTTTGCCTCCAGTCCCTCCATTCCAGCCTCTCCTGGTTGCTCCCTCTGGAGAGTGAAGAACAAAGAGCAGAGGGCGGTCTTCTGCCAGTGCTGCTGTCTAGCTAACACATCTCTTGATCCTCCTCACCCTCTGCTGGCTTCCCAGGGAGCCCTGACTTGGAGAGCCAGGCTGATGGTAACAGGAGAGTCACTGCCCTCCCTCCAGGTGAGGGAGGGGAAAGCAGAGCCCATCAGGAGGTGGGGTCTGAAGGACGGTTACTGAAAAATCCTTTCCTTAGCCCTCCTGAAGCTTCCAGTCCTAAGACTAACGGCCTCTTCTCCTTCCTCCTGGATATATCTGCACTGCAAGTTAAGAATTCCTTCAGGCAGGACCTGGCTTGATGGGAGACTTGACTGGACTTGGCTCTCCAGACTCTAAAGAGGAGGAAGGAATGTCAGGGATCCCCAGAAAGAACAGCAAAGGGGATAGATAGTACAGGGAAGATCTTTGGTGGGGAAGACCACAGAAAGATGCCCAGTACATGGCAACTAGCTTGCAAGCCAGGCTGGAAAAATCTGGCCAGTGGCCTCCACAGCAACCTTCATCCTCTGCCTACTCCACAGCCTTAGAAAGGAGGTGTGGGACTCTAGGAGTGATAACCAAAGGTCAGGGACACCAGGACATCCTACTATTCTAGGAGCACATGCGGAGAGGTCACTTTTGCACTGGCATGAGAGGGTTCAGATTCATGTCCATAGATGTGTGTGGGTCTTATGTCCTGTTGTAGGTGAGTGGTTCAGGATAGGTGTCTGCACTTGACTGTGACAGGTTGTGCATGTGTGGTTCTTCTGGAAGAGAAAAGAGAAACACCTGAGTAAGAGTAGCAGCGGCAGCCTGTGGGGAACAGTCCCAGGCCCTGCCCTTCCTTCGTATACATGTTGCACAGTAAAGAGGAAGTGGGGCAGGGCTTGGTGCACCAGTCCACAGGGCCCTGGGATTGACATCTGAGCCCAGCCAAGGGTTGCTGTGAAGTCTGTGCAACCTACTCCTGAGATGCTCTGTACCACTCTTCCCAAACCTGACGGAGGACAGAACCCCTGAAAGAACAGAACTGGAGGGGAGTCTCCTCTTTTCTCATCTACTTTTTCCATCTCCTCCCCTCTTCTTTCTCTTCCCTTCTCTTTCCATGGTCCTATTTACCTTTACAGCCTTTGACAGGGTCTATCCTTCTAACTGATGCTGGCAAATGAGTTTTCATATACCCTGGAAACATTTACAGGCAAAATTTCCTTCCTTTCTTTCTCTTTCTTTCTTTCTTTCTTTCTTTCTTTCTTTCTTTCTCTTTCCTTCCTTCCTCTCTCCCTCCCTCCCTCCCTCCCTTCCCTTCCTTCCTTTTTTTTTTGGTCTTTTTGAGACAGGGTCTCCCTGTAGCTCCAGCTATCCTGGAACCCCCTATGTAGACCAGGCTGCCCTTGAACTCACAGAGATACGCCTGCCTCTGCCTCCTGAGTGCTGGGATTAAGGGCGTGTGCCACCATGCCCGGCCCATCCTTCCTTTTAAATTGGTTGGTGGAGGGTCTCAGGAAGGATGGAGGGAGTACTGGACAGGTAAAGCCAAAATCTCATTTGCAGGATCCTTCTCTACCTGAGACTGGTCCGTGAGTCATTTTCTCCATTATTCCAGTAATTTCTGAAGGTTGATGCAGATACCAGGGTGAGACCAAAAGGGTAGAGATATTGCCCTGACAGCAAGACCTTGTCCTCTCTGATACCCTGCTTTGGTTGCTGCCTCCTTAGTCTCTTGGTGGGATAGACACCGGCTCTTATACAGGCCCTTGGTTCCAGCTTTTGCGGTGATTAATAACCAGCATGGAGCCAGGGCCCCTGGCCTCTCACTACCTAGATGCTCTAAATCAGCAGGCATGTGAAAGTATGCTCCCAAATGGGTTTGGTGACTCCTGCCTATAACCTGACCACTCAGGAGGTGGAGGCAGGATTGCTGAGTTCAGGGCTAGTCAGGGCTACATAGTAAGTTCCAGGTCAGCCTGAGCACAACCGTTTCTCCCATTAAAACAACTTTCTGTAATTGTCAGCATCACATTTCGCAGGGAGGGTCACAACAATCTGTTAGGACCCACCTACTCCTGGGTGTCTCTGGACTTACCTGGAGTAAGAGGCTTGTGGTTTCTGTTACTCCCCAAGCAGACACCTCCTCTGCCTCTCAGTCACCCACTCCCCCTTTATCTGTCCTCCGTGAAGACCATGGGAGTCTTTCTATGGGTTAGGGAGGGTGTGTGTGAAAGTGCAGACCCAGATTCACTGGGACTGTCCCACATGGCTTGCCCCGGAGACCGTCTACCCATCTACACTTTTACTGTGTAAACCTCCCCTTTCCCTCTTCTTGTCTGTGTTCCCCCTGTTCACGCCTTACCAATCCCACATGTTCATTTCTTGGGACAGTTTGAGAAAAATGGAACTGGAGAGTTGGCAGTGGGCATGGGGCGAGGGTGTAGTAATCTTTTCACTCTTAAATGGAATAGCCCAACTCCTCCTCTATGAGAGGGTCTTAAGGTGGACACCCCAAGGGGAAGGAATGTGCTGGGAGGGAACAGACTAAGGCCGCCTCCACCCTTCAGCACAAAGGAAGCTCTGTCCAGAAACCTGAGTGCAGAAATAGAAGCAGGCTCCTACTTTACAAAATAAAGTGTTTATTATGAAATTAGAGATGGAGGCCCCTCCCGTTCCTCCCTTTTTCCCCTTCCCCAGCTGCTTCCCCCTTTTCTCTCCCCTTCCCCTCTGGGGCCTGGGACGCACACAAGGCAATGCCCAGAGCTCGGATGCCCAGGGCAGGCCAACAGCTGGGCAGAGCTCCAGGGAGGTGGCCACATGGGGCTGAAGCTCTTGCCCTGGGAGGCAGGCTGGCTCCCTCCTTCCTTCTGCTAGGAGCCAGTGGAGCCAGGATGAGGCCATGAGTGATGGATGGAACCATGCTGGCAGGTCTGTAAGGACAAGGAGGCCTGGTTTGGCAGGAGTGGGGGAGGAGCCTTCAGGCCACCCACTATGCATCTAGGGACACTGACCTGGAGCAGAGCATCCTCTGCAGTAGGGTGGGCAGCAGTGGCTGGAAGTTTCTCTTGCTTTTGGGATGGATAACAGAAAAAAACCGAAAACCAGTCACAGGGACCCAAAGTGAAAGGAGGACATGTGGGCAGAAGACAGACACAGAGCATGTATGTGTGTGGGTAAGGGAGACAGAGTCTGTGAGCAATTAGAGTTACAGAGACAAAAACAGCCACGGGGGGGGGGTCCACAGTGACAACTGAGGTTCGGGGTCAGAGTCAGAAGACCCAGCCCCGTGGGGTGGGTGGGAGAGTCACAGACGGGGATCTCAGCAGAGACACACAGACCGACTTAGGAGAGGGAGGTAAGAGTGAGGGTGCCCTGGGCAAGGAAGGAGGGGAGCCCTGGCCGGGTTGAGGGGCAGGCTGGGGACCCGGGCTGCTGCCGCCTGCCTGGACCTGGGGGCTCGCTCAGAGGCCTGTGCTCAGGGGCCAGGGGGCTCCTTGGCCCCGTACAGCTCGGCCAGGGTGCGGAAGAGCGGGCCCCAGTCGTCCAGGGGCTCCGCGGGCCCGGAGGGTGCCCTGGGCAAGGAAGGAGGGGAGCCCTGGCCGGGTTGAGGGGCAGGCTGGGGACCCGGGCTGCTGCCGCCTGCCTGGACCTGGGGGCTCGCTCAGAGGCCTGTGCTCAGGGGCCAGGGGGCTCCTTGGCCCCGTACAGCTCGGCCAGGGTGCGGAAGAGCGGGCCCCAGTCGTCCAGGGGCTCCGCGGGCCCGGGGGCCGCCTC